TAGTGCGCCTGTGGGTTTAAATGTATCAGAGGGCAAGATTTTGATTTGAAATTTTGAAAATGTTTGATTTGGAGTGGGAGGGCTAATTTTTATTTCATTCTATTCTGCGACTTTTTTATTTTGTAATTAAATTTTTCAGCTGCATTCAAATCACGATTTTTATATTTCAATTTCTGGTGATCTTGTTGTGTTGAGAAACTTAGATGCAGCGGGAAAATATTTCGCTAAAGTTTCTTATAAAACCAAGACGTTTGTTTCTCCAGCCCAAACTTTAGTGACAGGTAACAGTCATCTATGCTCATGCTTAGTTTGAAAGCTTGGTACAAGAAAGTTGTATTAGTTTTTCTAAGATCTTTATTTTAGACCACTTGGACACTGCTGAGCCGAAGGTTGGCATAATTTATCCACCCAAGAATAAAAACATTGTTCTTGGTCTCGGAAAGTCTGTTGTCTTCGAATGCGTTCCAGCAGAATTGTATGTGCTTGTTTCTTCTTTTAGGCATTTATTTATGATGAGTTAAGGGTTTTCAAGAACTGCTCAAAAAATAGTTTCATACCGAAGGGAATCTTATTGCGTGCCAATTTAAAAATAGCAGTTTTACCATTGTGGTTCGCTTTTTCATTATGGAATTTTGAGACATATTTTTTATTAAAATTTATTTCAGAGACGATACTATTACTGTCGCTTGGGTAGTCAATGGAAGGGACATTGGCGCAGAATCTGGTTTTGAATTGAGAAGCTACAATAGACTTCTTAATATTACTTCACCGGAAGAGAAGTTTAGTAGGATTGATAGAGTCGAGATAAGCTGCAGGATCGTTGAGCGAGGGACAGTAACAAATATCACAACGGCGTATCTTGATATTTCCGGTAACTCAGCCTATTGCTAGATTTGTTCTTTCGCATTAAATTTTAAACGGTTCCAGCACGGCACTGAACGTGAAAGCTACTTTAGGCAGCGTTGAACTTGCTAAGTGAAAGTCTGTTTTCAAAAGCGTGAAGTTATTGTAACTTTTCCGTATTAAGGAAGGCCAGGAATCGTTCAGTGGGATTTTTCTGGGACTTTAGTTAAGAAGGTTGGAGAGCCTTTGGATGTCAGTTGTGAAACCTTCGGGAATCCTGAGCCTTCACAACGTTGGATTCGGGATGGTCAGGCTTATTCTGAAAATTCCAGTCTTTACATTGAAAAAATGGTTCTCTCTGATTTTGGATTTTATCAATGTGAAGCTTCAAATACTGCTGGAGTTTCTTTGCAGAATCTTTGGGTCAGAAGCCAAGGTGAGTTTTTGTGGTCGTAAAATAGTATTTACTCCTAGTACGACTTCCTACTGGAAATTGAAGCTGGGAAGGAAATTAATTTTTTTATTAACTCAATCTGCTTTGATTATACTCTGTGGTGCTTAAATCCAGATGGTCGAAGTTATCTTTTTACCCGTTGTGAGGCTTTAAATATTGCGGAGTTTCAATTTATGATTTCTCATATTTTACGGGAGAACTTGCTAATTATCTCTTTTAAGATATTGGTGCCTCCAAATTGACTGCCAAGTCTATTAAAACCCCGAAGCTCGTCAGTAGTTCTCCAGATCTAACGGCAAATTTTGGTGAAAATGTAGACTTATTTTGCAATTTCGATGGTGTTTTACCTGCATCAGTTATTTGGGAATTCAATGGTATTTGGATTTCTTGCGTTCTTGAAATAGAGTTAGCTTACAGTAGATTAGTTTTGATGCAGTTGAGATGTATTTAGGTTTTAGGGTTATGAATTGTGTGTTTTTGGGTTCTGTTTTAGGTAGATCGTTGCGTAGTGGGAGGAAGTACCAGGTCAGTGGAGGTTCTTTGCACATACATTCTTTTGCTGAAGACGATATTGGAGTTTATAAGTGTTCTGCTGTAAATCAGTTTGGGTCAGATACAGCGTCAATTTCTTTACACAAGGAAGGTGGGTTTCCTACTCTTTGTAAAAAGGCAGATTGTTTCAAAGAACAAATAATGGAAAGGACCAACTTCAAGATTGTACCAAGCTTTTTTTCAGTTTTCAGTGGTTGCATTCTTGATTACTAACCTTGAAGTCACGCGTAGTTTATTCCTTTGGCACACTCATTTTTGAACCTCCTTATTTATTTATATCAGTTTTTTCTCTCTTTAGAAATAAATTATATCAAAAACGGTCCGGCAAACTCTAGCGAATTGATTGGGAGTGATATAAGAATGCCTTGTGAGGTTCAAGACGAACTGGCTCGTCGAGAAGATGTCCGTGTTGAATGGTTGTGGAAGGTAGTCTCCTTTTACTTTTCTATTTGTTATTTTTTCTACCAGTTTATTATAGTTTTGTTGTCTGAACTGGTTTACTGCTCATTGAATGGTTTTAATCTTTGATTTTAATGGTTTTTTCCCTTGATAGTACATTCTCTTTGTAAATCTAAAAATTTCATCCAGGATGTTCTTATCCCACCAAACGGTGATCATAGACTTAGTATTAAGCCAGATGGAGCACTTGAAATTAAACAAGTTGGTCCTGAAAATATCGGTTTGTACACATGCCGTGTCAAGGTTGGTTCTAAGGAACAGACGATGTCAGCTTGGCTTAAAATCATTGGTTAGTTCTTTTCTTCAACTATTGATTTTCAGAAAATTTTTAAGGATTATCAGGGCTATTGAGTTTGGTCTTCTTTGACTGTCTTTGTTTAATTAATGTCATCGTTGGTAATTTACAGAAAAGCCGTCAATGCCTGGGCTTGTGAAGGCTGAATTGTTGAATGAAACGATAAGGGGTAGCATTTTGGTTTCTTGGAAAGAGGGGTTTGACGGTAACTCTCCGATAATTAAACATATTGTGAGGATGCGCAGCTTAGGCCCTACAGGAATTTGGTCAGATTGGGAGGTGGTCAATGAAAATGTTCCTGAAGAACTTTGCTGTTCCGTCAGAATCGGTTATTTATTTTCAATATTTTTTTTGCTGGAAATAGCTGCTTGGTCAATTATCGTGGGTTAAATTTTAGACAATTTGAAGCCATCTTCAACCTTGGAATTTCAAGTAGTTGCTGTCAATCGTCATGGGGCTGGGAAGCCTTCACTGCCCTCGAATAATGTCACCACTCCGCAGCAGCCGCCTGCTGCTGCCCCAAGAAACGTTGCTGCGAAGTGAGTAAAATCATCAAAAATTTCATAATTTTTCTTGTTCTAAAACGCTGGACATTCAGATGTTTTCATACAATTAAGTGATATAATTTTAAACTAAGATAGTAACATATTTTGTTTCAGTCACTCAGTTAATTTTTTTGTTGGAATTCTTTTTAGCGCTAGAACGTCAGCTTCGATTATGGTGCAGTGGCAGCCTCCTCCTCCAGAGCAATGGAATGGTGATATACTTGGGTATATAATACGTTATCGACTGGCAAATTATGCTACTTTGGTTTGGAATGAAAGGAACGTCAGTGATGGTACGAAAAGAAATGCACTTCTGGATCATCTTATAACTTGGAGGGAGTATGAAATACAAGTAGCTGCGTACAACCATCGAGGAATGGGTGTTTTTAGCAAACCAATTTATGTGACAACTCTGGAAGGCGGTTAGGATTTTTTGTTTTCTTTTTGTTTTTTTTTTTTTTTTT